AATGGCTTAAAATTATTGCAAAAATATTGAGAAAATATTTTTGTGCTGGATGGTGGTGCTGGTGGTTTTGGAACAGATTAGTGTTATCATTGAAAGTTTCCAGCCTGAGCCTTTTTTAACAGAGGCTGATGTCATTGCTGATCTACTTCATAAAAGAGCTGTCTTTCTCCGTCATTCTTTTTCACAGACTGTAAGGAAACCCTCTCAAAATGATTTTATGAGCTGCATTTTTGTTTTGTTTTGTTTTGTTTTGCTTTGCTTGTTTGACATAAGAAACTCTTCCCACCTGAAATGCAAATGCAACAGAGCAAAACAAAAACAATAAACAATTCCAGAATAGTGATTTTTTAAAAACGGTAAAATTCAGCGTTTTCCACACTCTTGTTTTGTTTTGTTTTGTTTTGCTTGTTTGACATAAGAAACTGTTCCCACCTGAAATGCAAATGCAACAGAGCAAAACAAAAACAATAAACAATTCCAGAATAGTGATTTTTTAAAAACGGTAAAATTCAGCATTTTCCACACTCTTCTTCATTGTTGGTACTGATTTAAACCTTTTGTCATTTAAACAGCAGGAAGAATACCAATATCATCAGCACACAGTTGGGTAGATATAAAGGGAAGAAATGCACCATCTGGATGAGCCTTAAGACATGAGCCAGAATCACATTTGGCTCAAATATTCTTCCTGCTGCTATCTCTCACACTTTCCTAGAGACTGTAAAGGTTACTTTTTGAACTACAACTCTTAGGGAGTTCATTTATCTATTTATTAGATTTTTACATCATCCATCTAGTGGAAATCACTACTCTGGGTGTTTTACAACAATAAACAGAAAATAATAGGCAGTAACAAAATCAGACGACTATAACGAAATACAATATAGCTTACAATGCTCTCAGTGCCTCAGAATAAGCAGTAGTGAAATTAACACTAAAATTAAGGGGTTCCGTTGTTTTTCTTTCTTTTTCTCCCTTCCTCTCCTCTCCTTGAACTAAGGAGAGGATCTCCAAAAGCTTCCCTGGAAAGCTCTGTGTTCAGGAGCTTCTTAAAGTTTCAAAGGGAAGGGGACTGGCATATCTTCTGTGGGAGTTCCAGTAAAAGAAGAAATTTTTCCAAGCTGCTCCTGCACAACGACTACAACACTGAGACAACAGTACTAACCTACCTTGTAAGGTTATTGTAAGAGTTTCCATGTAAACCACGTAAAGTACTTTGAACGTCTTAAGACACATTATGAATACTTGGCAACCTTTCTTTAAAACACTAAAATTAATAAAATCTTTTCCCAAGGCAGTATTTCCTGGCATGGATTGGAGGGGCCATTTGGTTTGATTCAAGGTATGAAAAGGCCAGAGTCATGAGGGCCGTGGAGTAGGAAGCAGGCATCCTGTTTAGTCATGATGAATCAGACTAATAGGAACAAACTGACTTCCAGCAAAAGGAGGAGAAAAAGAGTTCTCCAGCATCATTCTTCTACCAGGTCTACAGACCCTGTGGTAGGACAGGAGATGATGGCTGCCACCCAAGTATCCAGACTCGCCTTTGAGAGTTTTGATCGTAATGGAATCAGTCGACTCGGTTCTCTGTCTAATGGAGAGGGGGGGGCGTAGATGTGCATTGAGGGAATGGAAACAAGGGCAAAGTTTTGGCCAACAAAGTGCCCGGTAATCTAAGGAGAGATTAATGAGCCTTTGAGCTAAACACAGTTCAGAAAGGTGGGATTGTTGTGATGGAGGAGGAGGAGCCGATTTTGCCTGAATGCCACGTGCCATGGCTGGGAGGAGCCCGGGTGGCTTTGGCATCTGTGCTTGTGTGCAGCCAAGCTGGTAATTCTGTGGCAGGCAGTGGTCCATACATGCCAGCTCAGCAGCCAAGGAAAGTGAACAGCCAAAAGGCAGGGGCTGGCACAAGGATGCGGACGTTGACTGGGATGTGTCTGTACGTGTCCCCACCACCACCAGCAGCCTGCTGTGCACACGTCTAAGTGAACTCCCTTTCTTGTCAGAGATGGAAAAGGCAGAACTTTGGAGTTTTGCCCACTGTTCCCACGGATCTAACTCATTGCATCATTCAGCCTTTGCAAAAATCTGTGCCTGCCTTTCCTCACGACAGATACCACCTTCTCCATATTGAACACCTTTTAGTTCAGCACCTCTCCTTCTGTCTAAAAACTGTTAACATCATCCTCTCCCTGTCTCTCTGTCTTACATCTTGTGCTTTTTTTTTTTTTGTATGTTTCTTTCAAACGAATGGAGGAGGTTTGACTTCAACTGGCAGGCATTGTGGTTTCCTGTCCCTCTTGGGGCCTCCCTGTCTAATTGCTTCCAAGGGTGGGAATAGGATGCTCCTAGAGACATTTGCTGGATTTGCCAGCATCCCCGGTTTGCAAACATTTATGCTGGCTATGAATGAAAAAGTCTTCCAGTGTGCTGGTCTTAATGTTTCTTTGCTGACTCTGGACAAACAGAAGGCATCAGAGTGCCGTACCCCATCCATAACCAATGGCTGTGCTTGGACTGAAAAACTGAATGCTGGACTGTTAGAACGCAGGCGGCAGTCTCTGTGTCCACAGGACTAATCTGATGGGGGACAAAGGTTTCAGTGATCAGAAGATTGTGATGAGCGGTGGGATGGGGCACATGCCCCCCCCCCGATTCTCTCCTTCGCTGCATGGGAAGGATGTAGAGCCCTTCTAGTCCTCAGCAAGGGTGGCAGAAGAGAGAAGCTTCCAAGACTCTTTCAAAAACTATTGGAAAGCCATTTTGGATGGAGAAAAGGAGGACCAGTACAGAGTCAAAGGACAATAAAACTGATATTCCCTGAGTTCAGAACAGACTAAAACAAATCAAACACTAATTTTTTAAAAAGCAACCCATGATTCACTGAAGGACTTTGTTCCTGCAAGGCACGGTGGTGTCTTAGATGGCTTTGCAAGAAGGTCTCAAAAATGCACAGAAGAAGACCTGGACTGATTAGAGGCTACTAACCATGACAGCTTAAGCAGAGCCTCTGTTTCTATAAACAGTTATACCTCTGCATAGGAGATGCTGAAGACAAACATTTGCAGAACACAATTGGTTTCCTGCCCCACTGGAGGCTTCTCCTAGGCATCTGGTGGGTCACAGAATGCTGGACTAGGCATCCCTCCGATCTCTACCCAGTGCTGGAAAAGGTTACCCTTTTGGACTGCAACTCCCAGAACCATCAGTTAACTAACCTCCGACACCCTGGATAACAGAGGTTCTAAGAACAAAACTGTAGTCTAAGAACTGTAATGACATCCCCCTCCCCCACTCTGGCTCAACCAAAAAGGGCTCTTCTTGTGACAAACTTGTGTAGTGGCCGTTGAGAAGCCTCTTTAGAATAAGATGGTACGCAAAGAACATAGACACATTTCCAACTTTCCTTGGGTGCCTATTAGTATGGACATCCTGTTTTAATGCCACATGTCTCCATACTTGCAGAAGGGGTGAGTATAATAATTGTCTGTAATCTCCCAGCTAGTTCACACATTTACATTTGTTCTGGGAAATACATCTACAAGGACAATGGAGCTTAGTTATTGTTCTGGCCTAAGAAATTATGGCATCAGAGGCAGATATTTTCCCCCCAAATCTCTCTCTCTCCTTCTCTCTCCATCTAACTTGCACATATATCTCCAATACATGGCACAAACCCATTCAGGGTTTCTTAGTTTTGATGGGGATTTTTGGAAAGAGCTCCCCACGGACTGGATTTCTTGCTTCAGACTCATCTTGTCTTTGCTATCATTAATATCTCTCTCTCTCTCTCTCTCTCTCTCTCTGTGTGTGTGTGTGTGTGTGTGTGTGTGTGTGTGTGAGAGAGAGAGAGAGAGAGAGAGTGAGTGAGTGAGAGAGAGAGAGAGAGAGAGA